AAATATTCACATTATTTATTGCTAGGACAATGAGTAAACATAGACATTGTGAAATTTTGTTTGTTTTAACTCATGTTCCAATGATCAAAATTACAAACAAGTTAACATACAAACTTGGCATTTCAAAAAATACTGATGATATCAATATACACTATGACAAAGTCCTAACGATTTATTAACAAAATGAGTCTTTTAAGTAACATATAAATATTTCATTCATTTTCCTCAAAACATTTAGACAAAATTATCTAGGAGTTAACTGATTTCTTGTGTGTTTGAAATTCCTCAGTTTTGTGTTTGCTATCCTGAGTATAAAATAATTATAAGCTGAAAATAATTTCAGAATCTGTTAACTAATATATCTGTAATAGGATTTCATTTGATTTCATGCATAAAAATAATGTTAGATGAATTAAATTTCTATTCTATTCTATGTAATTCTAAACAAACACGCAATAAGTGCACACCACTGATTAAAGCATACGGCTTAAGATTTAAAACCAACCTTTATATTGATCCTATATGATCATTTGGCATTTCACTTTAAGAATCAATCAGCCAGTTAAAAGTAGTCTCACAATTTCAAATTGATGTAAACATCAAAGCAGACTAGGCAATCTCAGATAAAGCTTACTAATACTAGCACTTTGTCTTTGGCCATAGCAATCTCGCTGTTAAACTTTTTCTCACTAGACTTGAACAAAGTAGGTGGATGAACAATTGAAAATAGAAATGGTGTAAATATACCATTATGTTACAGTAAATGTTTCACAAAGAGTAAATTTTAAACCCTCAACTTTAACTTAAAATCCCCAATATATTTTATGGTTTGATTCCAGAACATAACTCAATTTTATCATTCCTCGTAAAGTATCTAATAAATAAACAAAAAGATGAATACATCATTTTGTACCTTACCTGATCTTTATATTAAACTGTAGCTTTGTCAGCATGAAAAGCAAACAAACTATTTAATTTCTGATATAATAAGAAATGGTGCAACATAAAAAACTTAAATATATAGTCCATTTCAAATAACATTTTATTGTAACAAAATTTTGAAATATGTATGAATTGTTTATGATGTATACATATAACATGCAACATTCAGAAAACATGTATTAATTAAGTTTCCCAGAATAATGCTTACACAGATATTCTTGTAGAAGAACCAAATGTTCTTTACAGTATATTCAAGTTAGCTGTTATTTCATAACATTTAGAGATATGCCCATATATTTCCATTAAAACCTGTGGTAAATACTTCTGAATAACTATCCTTTTAGCTCGAAGACTGTAATTTATTGAGTACAATATTCTTAAAGTTACAAGTTATTTTACTGCCAACATAATTGATGTAAATTACTGATTTTACAAATCAGAATGTTAAATTCTATATTAGATTCTGATTCACCTTGTACAGCATTGCAAAAAACTTAATTCAGGTAAAAAAAAAAAGGAATGGTCGATGTTATATTTTTTGAGAAATAAATTATGTAAGGATTATACATACATACTCTATTTTCTTTTTAAATTGTTCAATTTATCTGAGGTACTGCCATGACCATTATCTATAGAAAGTGATAAAGTTAGACTTGAGATACAGTAGGTCTAGAAGCAAAAAACTTTGCATTTTTAAGTTCATTCCACTTAGTTGAGTTTATTTGTATCTAAAAAACTTAAATTGATTCCCTTAAATGTCACCTATCAAGGTTGATAAAGAAAATCGTATCGTATAAATTGTTCTTATGCTTGATTAGCAATGAAAACAATACAAGTATGAGAATGTCAAACATACACCTATTATCTACATGCAGCAAAATTTACTTTACTTCGATACAACCAAATATGTTTCGGTAACATCTATATTTCAAGAAAAGCTACTTCACAACACTTCTTTAGACTAACTCATATTGAACAAAATTTAAAAACTTTCTACAGGTTTAATTTGTTGCTTCTACATATAAACAAAAAGTTTTTCTAGATATTTTCACCATAAAACTCATAGCATATATAAAGTTTTTGATAACTCTACTTAGCAAACTGCAATGCATTTAACAATCTAAGATTATTAAAAATTATATGATACAAACATACAGACCAGCATCACTTTGTGATCTAAAGATTTGTTTGTTTGTTTGTAATTAAGCACAAAGCTACACAATGGGCTATCTGTGCTCTGCCCATCACGGGTATCAAAACCCGGATTCTAGCGTTGTAAGTCCGCAGACATACTACTGTGGCACTAGGGGGCAAAGATTTGTTATAGTTTCATGCATGTAGAATATGTATATAAAAGCTACTAAACACATTTTTAGGGTTTTGGTTAATAAGAAACTATTAGCTTCCAGGAACATGTTGAAAACTTAATATTGCAGGAATGGGGTTCCAAAATTGGTAAATTATATAGTGACACAAACACACAAACAAGTGTTTAAAAATTACCTACCAAATCCTTTTAGTGAAAAAAATTGCTGAAGTCTTTCATAAAAATAAATGAAATTATGTTGACAAAACTGTAAATAACTTTTAAGTAATTTCTATACCGATGAAGTCTTTATTCTAAAATGCCCATATGTAAATTGCATGTGCTTTTGAGAATATAAAAGCTTAGTATAGAAATAGCATTACTTACATGTTATCCAAACAAATTAATAAAACTTTAGTTATTGATTCATCTGATGGAAAACGAAGTTTGATGATAAATAATAAAAACGCGGTAATACCAAAAAAAAACATTTTTAATATAGGTGTTTCAGAATTTCCTTAAATTCCATCATCAGCATTAACATCTCAAAAAGTTAGTTCATATTATTCAAACTACAAAAAAACAACATTAGCATGGGGTGAGTTTTCATATTCAATTGAAAATTTAGAAAGAACAGATTTAAACGGTAACAATATAATGGAATGTACGATAAAACGTGTGGCAGACACATGTTTAATAAATAACATTGTTCAGAGAAACTATTATAGAGAAAAGCTTAAATATAAGTATAAACACTGTATCTTCAAAACAATAATAAATATCAAATAAAACACTGAGAATACAAAACTGATTACATTAATGACAACAGGGAGGAGTTGATGTTATTATTTAGTATTGGGTGATCATTGAAAATGTAGAGGCTTTCTTTAATAAAGAGTTTGTAAATGTTTTCTTAGGTAAATAGATGTGCCAAAGAATTTGTTTATTTGAACATCTAAAAAAACTAAGTTATTGTTTTCTTCCATCTCATACATAAAGTTTATACATGGATGTTGTGAGTTTATGTATTCTAAAAACTTCTTTGTGTGATCAGTGTTGTGAAAGAGTAGAAAAGTGTTATCGACATACCCTCTGTATAATACTAGTTTATGATAAAGGAGGCAATTATCCAGCCATTGACGTTTGTAATAACATGGAAAATATTTGCAAGGGTTGGACCTAGAGGTGTTCACATCACCACTCTGTATCTGGTCATAAAGATGACCATTAAAACAAATTAATTGTTATTGAGGGCCAATTTAAGAAGTTGTTCATACTCATATTTTGGATTGTGATAACGTATATCCATTATCTTGCATTTATTATAATTAAAAAACAACTACCATTTATTTGCCTAACTTACTAAAAAATCCAAATCCTTTTGTATGCAGTTGCATCCTCCTCACAGTCAGCAAAACCTAAAAGTTAGGTTAAAGTTAGGGTACAGAGCATTTTTGGCAGGGAATAACTGTTTACTAATTATTCTGATTGTTTTCTTAAGTGAGATATTAGTGAATAAGGACTAAATATCAAAGCTGGCCATAACAAATTGGTCTGCATTAGGAAATTTAGATACCTCTTGAGTAAAGGAAAAAATAATCTTTAACAGTAACTTCATTCTTAGTTAGTGGGATTAATGCAAGTACAAGATATTTAGCAAGTTTATAGGTATGGGAACCAAGAGTAAATAGAATAGGTGTGAGGGGTAAACCATTTTTATGTATTTTTGGTTAACCATACATAAAAACAGGCCGGGAACTTGTAGGATAAAATTCTGCAAAAGTGGTGTCAGAGGTGAGTTTACAATTTTTAAACGTCCGTTGAAGCATTTCCTCATGCTTGAGAATAAGCTTAAGCCAATCAGCTGTAAAGCTACCTATATTGGTGAAACTACTTGTCACCTACAAATATTTGCAACGAGCACGTGGAAATTTCAGCAAGAAGCAGATGCAAGTTAAGTAATCCACCCGAGTTTTGTATCTGATTACACATTGAGAACAACAACCACCCCATACTTCTAGATAAGTTTAAAAATTCTCGATTCCTGAACCGCAGATTACAAATTCTAAGAAATCCTCTCTATTTTCAGTGATCACCCAACACTGATATTTATTATTATTTTAAGGATACAGTGTTTATACTTATATTTAAGCCTTTCTCTATGATTGTTTCTCTTAACAATGTTATTTATTAAACATGTGTCTGCCACACGTTTTATCGTACATTCCATTATATTGTTACCGTTTAAATCTGTTCTTTCTAAATTTTCAATTGAATATGAAAACTCACCCTATGCTAATGTTGGAATTTAAGGAAATTCTGAAACACCTATATTAAAGATGTTTTTTTGGTATTACCATGTTTTAATATTTATTATATAACTTTAGCACTTTTGATACATGAGCATGACTTACCTGATGAAGACAAAGCCCCCACCCCCAAGTTAATAGCACAAGGGTTTTATAATTTTTGTCACATGATTTATTAACATTTTTGATTCCATATATTGTTAATAATTATGAATACTTGCATGATACAATATTTACATCTAATAATATAAAACTTGAAACTATCAAGATAGCTACATGTAAAGCCAGCTGTTTTTACTAGCTTAACACTTACAAGAAAGCAACATTTATAACACAATTTCATGATAAGCTATGATGGCTTTCCTATTACATTTTTTTAAGTATTAGTTTTGCATTTACAAACATCAATAAATGGCTTAATATTACTTGGTTTTTATACTCACCATTAATTTTAATATTCAACTTCCACGACATGTAGCCTGCCATACTGTACAAAACTACAGATGACAACAAAAAGAAAAAAGCTTGAAATGCACAAAATAAGAAGGTTTCTCCAAGGTTCCTGTAATAACAATAATAATAATAATAAAAAACTATTTTGTCACTGGAAAAGTTAACATTTTTTGACACTTAAAATGTATTTCCGATAGTTACTTACTCCCACTCACACAAAGGTATCTTAATCTTCTTTTTGTCCCCTAAGCATTGCTAAAAAATTTTAATGCTCAGTGCACCAGTCTATATACCCCACAAATTTCTCAACACTTTTGAACATGTATATAGCATGTGACCACCCTCCACCAATAGTATTGTACCACCTATATTGGCACAGCTAGCTCTCTCTGATGTTCCCGTTCAGTCCTCATTTTTGAGAATTGGCACGATCGAAAATCAATAACATTGGCAGTGGGAAGGAATGGTGGGTAGTGTGTGAGAGGAGGTACATACCTACTGGAAATACATTTTCAGTGTATGAATATGTTAACTTCTGATCAGTCTTACCTCCTCTCACATATAGCTAAAATCCCACACTGAAAAGGTGTAGGCAACAGTACAGATGCCAAACATTGAAACCAAATGGAAAGCAACTGTCTAGAAATAACTGGTGCGCTCAGAAATGAAACTGAAGTACACATGTGGGGCATCGCACTACTTCTGGAACAGGTATGCTCTTCATCACATAAGAAGGAAATGAATCTAATACAGGCAGAAAAAAAAATGCATACAAGCTGAATTATTTCTGTGAGGTGCAATCCATAGTGAAAAATGGCACAAGTCTGAATCAACCTCCATTGCACAAACCAGATCAGAAAACAGCCAACTCCTGTAGGTGAAATGAATACTTGAAGTGAACTTGACATCCACATGAGGAGAAATGGCAAGTCAAGGAACAGTTCACTAAAATACAAAAATGTAGAAAAACAACTAGTCTTAACCTCAACCAGACAGACAAGGTTCTATGACACATCCTCAGCATTAGAAGGTTGAGGCTCAACCAGATAAAAACACTTACAGAAACATAAACACTGTGGCTAGGGCAAGTGGACCATATACACCAACTTCAACCATAAGTAAACAAAGTGTCATACGTCAAGCAACCGGAATTACGAAGAGCAAGTTAGCATTTGGCCAAAATCAGACAAACTCCCAAAACCATCGTAGGAGCATGAAGTTCAACAAACCGAACCCAGCATTAAGGGGTTATGTTGTTGCCTCTACTCAATTATAACAACAAGGCAATACCTATAATCAGAATTAAGATCAGAAATCGTAATTCACCCAACCTTAAATGCAGGAAGACACATCCTGCACCCAGAATTACAAGGAGGATGTTGAACATTTGCTTAACCATGGGAGCAATGTACGTATGTACTGTTGCCAGTATTACAAGGCAGATGAAGTGCCCCAAATGCAACTATAGGGGCAGGAAAGGAAACCTACTGCAACCGAAATAGGCCTCTACTGCACTCAATTGTGGGAATAGGACAGTGTCATCCTGATCCCAGTATTAAAAGGTCTGCCCCAACTGACAATCAGTACACCTGGAAATATGCATCCAGGGTAAAGGGAACCCAGCTTTGCCCTCTTCTCACTGAGTGGATAAATGTGTGGTTGTATCGTAAGGAAATTTCTACTTCAAATTCAGAAGGAAGTCTCATTGGTCCACCGCCTCGGTGACTGGGAACTGGTAAGGACTCCTGTGCTCCACTTGTAGAAAAAATAAGGGGGGGGGGAGTAAGTGTGGTGGGGAGCCCGAAAGGAATGTTACTCTGGAGAAAATGCAATGGCTGTCTGCAATTTCTTATTTTGAAATGCAGACCATCCCAAGTTTATGCAATCCAGAGACATCTATGTATATACCACTAGGCTTGCCACTAATGGTCTTGTGGAACACTCCATCTGTATAGTGAGTGTTACAGCTCTACTGGTAAACAGTGCAGATTTGAGTAAAAGCACACCTGATCAGACAACAATCGCCACAGAGTGGGATCTTATGAGTAGTGGTTAAAAAAAAAAAAAATGTTGTGAAACGACACCCAAGTCAAAGCTGATCGAACATTTGTAGAGTCACTATCTGAAAATGATAGAACCAGATAGTACAGATAATGAGCAACGAAGGAATAGAATGCAAGCCATATTCTGGCCTGAACAATTTCTTCCAACAGAGGGTGAAAATGAGCAGCCAAACACATGGTGATATGACAAATTGGATGAGAAGAATGTTAAGGAGACAGCAGCCTTCCAAGGATAAGTCTGAATATGCCAGCCTAAGGAGTTGATGAACCCAATAAGTTAGATCCCAGAAAAACAGAAGGGTTCCAAGGAATAAAAGGTTGGGAATGTGAACCCTGAAAGGAGACAGTAAATGCCACATAACACCATAGGAAGCAAACCTGAAAAGGAAGCCAATAAGGATTGGAATGGGACTATAGGTGGGAGATGGAAGGTAAGGAAATGTGAAATGGCATTTCCAGGCAACAGAGGTCTTTGGGAGGAAAAAACAGGCTGGATATATGATGAAATAATAGTATTGATATAGGATTCTGGTAACGTTAACAGCATAAATATCCGATCAACAACACCCATAAGTTAGAAAGAAAAGGAAACATAATATACCACACACCCAATTAACCAAGTGAAAAAAAAAGGTGACAGACCGAAATAAGAATGTGCCAGAAAAAGTGAATCTAATTTTTTTCTTCTTGATTGTATTTATCCTCAGAAATGTTGTCAGGTTGAAAATGAGAAGAAATTGCTGGCCGAAAGAAGGAATCTAACTACCTGCAAATTAAGGCCTGTACTTTTTCAGCAGGTAAAGTCGAACCCAATGCCTGGGAAGTTGTACCAGAAGCACCATAACAGGAATTTCCATTGCTGATGTACAAAATTTTTTAGCAATGCTCAGTGGGCAGAAAGAAGATCAAGATAGATTTGTGTGAGTTGAAGTATGAAAGTATCAGAAATTTCTTTATAAATATTTAAAAAATAACAGAACAACAGAAGGAGAGCAACATAACAGTAACTATACACTTTGTATAACTTCTTTAATTTTGAGCAACTAGGCAAAAAATAAAGATCATCACACACATACAAGATGGTAACTTTAAAACTACATTTAAAATACAAACTAAACTTTGGAAATAATAAAATGTATCCTGTCCTTCAGTTAACCAGTAAAGAAGCCTCACATATCAGTTTCATTTAATGTAAACATCAAAGAAGCAAGGCAATCCAAGATTAAGCCAACTAGTACTACTAACATTTTGTCTCCAGCCATCACCCCCTCCAACATTTTTATCAATGGATTCAAATGAAGTTAGTGGATGGCCAATTTAACAACAGAAATGGCAGAAATCTGCCAAATGGCAGCTAATTCAAATCTCTGTGTTTTGCACGCATGACGCATATTAGGCTAAAGTTTTCACAGTAATTATCTTCTAAATGCTTTTAGGCAGTTCAAACAATTCATGGCTTCGTTAATAAGTTAGAATTAGAAACTACATAAACTTATTCTATGATAAGTCAAAAACTCAATGAGCAATGTAAGGTTAAACATCACAAACAAACAGTTTGATCATGACCTGACACCTTCCAGGAAATTGCCATCATGATACAGACCTAGTGCGTGTGCAGTGTCTTGTATCATTCATGGCTAATGCACTTGCAAGTGCGATCTTAGAACACATATGTTCTAAGTGCCAGTGAATATGCATATCACACAGCTTCTTATGGTACAATGCATGCTCAGCTACTTGGGCCATATCCCTGGCAGTCCTTCTACTACTATCTGGTTGATAGATTGAATGTATGACAAAGAGGGTAAAACTTAATTATACATTATACTGGTAACTGAAACTAAGCCAACTACTTTACAAGCAGTAGTCTCCAAGGTTTTGTAACCCTTCTGTTCACAGTCCCAACCTTCTTTCTGATACCAGTTGAATATAATCTGAATAAATAAGTTAAATCACATCTGATTCCACAAATAAATCCAGATTTTATAATCTTGTAGTATAACACTACTAAATGTAGTTCAACAAAACCTTTGAATTACAACTACCTTGTTCAGAAATAATACTGTGATAAATTATTCAGTGATATTTGCCAAAATTTGAAAATTGTACAATAATACAAATCAACCATATTTCTAAATCAAAACTACTCAAAAGCAATAGGTACAAAATGTTTTCTATAATTTTGAACAAGTAATGATCATGTTATGATTTCACAATATAAAGACTGAGCCACAATCTATGAACATATCACACATTATATTATAAAGCACACAGGATTAACAAAAAAAAGTTGGCATCTGTAAAAGAAACATACTAATCTTTTAAAAAGTGGACTTTCTTTCATCAGGGTGTGGCAAATGACCATTGTAAGCATACTGATCAATTAGGTGGTCACTATACAAGAACTGAAACCACACATTTCTAAGAATAAGACCTAAGTTGAGAAAGTGTATGTGTGATGTTAAGTGATAAGAAACAATGAGCAAGGGTAGTTTTGAATGAAGAACAGCTTACAATAATATGCATTTATGCAAAAAATAATGTCCAAAACAAGTGAAGGATTTACAAACAAAAACAGTTAACAATACATGAACTGGAAGAGCAAAATATGAATAAAAAATTTTAAGAAATGAATTCTAATAATAATGGATAAAGATTAAACTATATTCATAAATAGAACATTCATTAAGTAATAGAAATTAAAATGTTACAAATGCAATAACAGAAAAAATTCATTTCAAAACAGAATTTTCTAAGATTTTTTAACCACCTCAAATTCTTGTCATACTATTTATCAAGGAATAGTGGAATTAACTGTCACATTATATTGTCACCATTAGTGAAGGGTTGAGCATGTTTAGTGAAATGTTTTAATCCCACAATCTGCAGATTGTGAGTTGAGAGACTTAACCAACAGGTCATGGCAGGCTCATTAGTTAACCCTCTGGATACAGGTATGGTCAAAGTGCTTAAGTAATGACCTTTTACAGAGTTACTTTTAAAATTTAATAATACAATAAACTTGGTATCAAAGCATAGCTTATAA